GTAAATTCAGTTAATTCAAAGCCTGGGAGTCTTCACTTTTACCTGAACATCATTGAACATGTGACCCAAATAAGTAGATCAATGTTTCTCAATTTCAGAAAAGTTAAGATATATTGATTTCAACTTCCAGAATTCCTCAGCCAGCATGTGTTGAAGTTCAAAAGCTGCTGAAATTGAGAAAATCTAAATCAGGAGTCCCCAATCCCTGGTCCATGGACCGGTACCAGTTAGGAACCGGGCCATGCAGCTGGAGGCATGCGGCAAGTCTGCAGGAGTCTGGGCAGGGGCGGGAGAGTGGCAGGGCAGAAGCCAGCTTGCTCAATGCAAAGATTCTCCAGTGGCTGCACTTGCAACTGGCTTGCAACATCTGAGCTCAGCGTCCTTTTCTCCTCCTGCTTCTTGTGCTCTCTCTTCTTCTGCCTTCTCCTCCTCCTCTTCCTGCTCCCTCTCCCTTCTGCTACTTTTTCTTCCTCCTCTTCTTCCTCACTTTCCTCCTCTCCCCCTCCTGGCACCCCAGCTGGGCTCGTGCTCCCTTCGCGCAAGTCCACGTTTGCAAGGCAAGGGGCGCGCCTTGCAAACCAGCTTCCCCCAAACCTTGTTGGAGGGAGATCCCCTCCCAAGATATGTGTTTGTGAAAGGCTTTCTCAGGGTGCAAATAGGGGCAAGGAGAAGCTACCTTTCACTTTAAGCACTGCATCTTCAAGAGAATCTCTCTCGTTTGCACTTTTTCTAACACCACTGAGTTATTTGCTTTTGTTTTGATGGTGCTCTAGGTGCCACATGTTTTGGAAATTTCCTGCCTGCTTTAATTTGGTGTATGTGTGTGTGTGTGTGTTTGTGTGTGTGTGTTCATGCTCCTTTCTTCATGCAGCTCTCAGGTTTGCAAGCCAAGTGCGCTCCTACCCAGCTTGCAATGGGGGAGGGGAGAAGCTACATTTCCCCTTAAGCACTGTGTCTCCAAGGGAATCCCTCTCTCACCTGGACCTTTTCCAAGGCTGCTGGGCTTGCGCAGTGCCCCCCCCCCACCTCTTTTTTGAATGGTTTTCTCAGCACTTCCTCAACGTGCTGGGTCTTTGGTTTGTTTTGCTGGAAGGCTAAGTTCAGGATTGTCTCTTTTCCTTCCCACTTTCTTAGAAGCAGAAAGTCACTGGTCTAATCTAATACAATGTAATAATAATAGAAATAAAGTGCATTGTTTATTTGTTTGTTTATTTGGAAATTTAGAATAAATATAATGAATCATCCTGAAACCTTCCCCTCCCCCCCCCCAGGTCCATGGAAAAATTGTCTTCCATGAAACCTGTCCCTGGTGCCAAAAAGGTCTGGGACCTCTGATCTAGATGATAAAACTAGCCAAACTGTGTACTACTTAAGCAGTTATTTGGCAAAAGGAGTAGTTGTTCCATAATAAAAGCAGGATTGTGCAACAGAAGTAAACAAGGGAGAAAAAAAATCCAGAACCATTAATAGCACCGGACTTATTATCAAGAACTTCTGTGATTTGGCTAGGAAATTGGTATGAATTAATTCATTCCTGAAATCAGGAGTGAACTAATTTTCCTTGTGTTGAAGAATTAATTATCTGATTCTATCTTGGAAAAAGTATCTATGCCACAAACTTAGGAGGGCTACAATCCACACTGCCATCCCACCAAATAGTCATGTCAGAGCATCAGAGAAGGAGGAGCAGAACTTTCATCTCTCTCTCTTCTGCCTCTGCATCGGTTGCCACATAAGCAATTATAGGCAAAAGTTTAGGCATCTCTGGTCAAATTGTATGTTTCACTGGATCTCTTGGGGGAAAAGCTGAAAAGAAAATGGATATTTTAGCAAGACAGCAATCTGAAACATGTCCCCAATCAACTATGAAGTTCTTACACAGGAAAAAAGATAAAGGTTTTTCAATGGCCTTCATTGTTCCTAGATATGAATATTACTAAAAATCTTTGGGAAGAAACAAGGATGTAATAGGATACTTTTAATCAAGAAAAGTGGCCCCACAACTTTGGGGCACCAGGAACCAGTTCCGTGGAGAGTTTTTTCTGGGAACCAGAGGGGGCATGGTTTTGTGTGCTGTCTGCATCCCATGGATGGGCTTTGCTTGTTTGCATGACCCAGTTTCTGGAAAAACCAGTGCCAGTCCACAGACCGGGGGTTGAGGACCCCTGATCTAGAAGTATTTTGCATGGAAGATTATTATGCAAGAATGAAAAGACTCTTAGCTAGCTACATGGACTATTTGGAAACTCTTATTTCTTTTAAATAAATTATTACAAAGTAATGACTGAAAGGTTGTGCACACATTTATATTCACCACAATCACTGTTTTCTTATTTTGAACCTGCAAACAATAAATAGTAGGTATTAATTTAAATTTGCAGAAAGTTTTTAGCGTTGGAAGTTACATGAACCTCTTTTCACCGAGGAATTCATTGCAACATACAATTTTACCAGGGGTCCTTAAAACAATTGCATGCAACTTAATCTCCTTTTACAAGAGAAAATGGGTAATGGAATGAATTGATGGTTAACAGACAGAACTGATGACAGAGAAATGAAGCATGAGAGCTGGATGGGAATTTTTTTCTCTGATCGACAGAAAATTTTCATATAATCAAAGTTTGTTAGCAAGCCTAGCTCTGTTGAATCACAACAGTGAGGTTTTTTTCCTTCTGTCAGGAGCTATGTTGCTGAAAATGGGGAGAATGTATTAAGGACTGTCTGCAGACACTGCTTGGGGGTGAGTCATGTCAATCTTGTCAGAAGATTAGTTGTAGAGGACTGTGGAAATTAGATTCACAGCCCTTCCCACTGCTTTACTGAAGTGCTGTCCATCCATTCTGCAGCCAACAAAAAAAATGATCTCAGCATAAAATTTGCTGTCCCCATTATTGATCCCTATCCTGTCTCTATTGTCTCTGTTCCCACTCACTGCATTTAACTTCCTTCCAAACTAAGTGGTAGTAAAGCCTAACATAAGTTACACACCATGAGGCTGTTGTGATACAGTATCCAAATAAGCTTTAACAGCTAAAAAATAACATAAGGCTGTGCCATTCATGAGCTGGAAATAAAAAGAAGACTGTGTCAGAAAGACAAGTCAGAAAAAAAGATACAGCTAGGTCAGGTTTGCATGATACTTAGAAGCAAGTTGGAAAGATGGACAGGTTACTCATTCTTTTATTAGTATTAACCAAGAAGCAGTATTAACTAAGATATGAGCAGAAACCTTTGTTTTTCAGCTGATCTGTTTACCATCCCAACAGGGAACATAATTCTATATTTTCACACCCTATTTTTGCCATCATAGTTAATAGGTGAGTATCATATCACCTGAATAGGCTGAATACTAAGGACAGATAAGTAATAGTTAACAGTGGTTGGTTTAATTTTTTAATGACCCTGCTTTCAGATCAAACATTCATGTCACAATTAAGCTTAATATAAAAGGAAGGGAAAATAAATAAAATAAAACATTGACTCTGGGTAGAATTAGTTATTTTGGTTTTCATGTCCTTTTTAAAAGTGGATGACAGAACAGATTTGGCCAACGTAATAAGTGCTCCATTTAAAAAGAGACATTTGCTTGAAGGCTATTCTCTTACTTGTCCCCCAAGAGCAGAATTATGAATCTGTCATGGGAAGTAATGATGTAATTGCAAGCACTGCATCACTTTACAGCTGCTTGAAAGGCCATTTGGGGCATAAATTTACTATAAAAATACAGATGATAAAAATCTGCTTTTTCTCCAGACATAGAAGGGACCCTATTTTATGTTCAGTGGACAATTTAAGCTCACACTGATTTATTTAAATGGTCTGCAAATGCAGTTTGGAGAAGAAACAGAATTTCTGGTTAAGCCATGGATTGCTGGTTCACTGCTGAAATCAGATGATCCATTAGAAAATGTATTTTCTGAAACCTACAAAAACAGAACAGAATAAGTGAACTTGATGACAAAATAAATCTGCTAATAACCAGTAGCTGTTGTTCATCCACTTGCCATGTTTGTAGACACTAGCAACTGATCTTAGGAAAATGCAAGAAGAAACTGCCTAAGTCAGAGGTCCCCAATCTTTTGGGCACCAAGGACTGGTTCTGTGGAGAGAGGTTTTTTTCTGTGGACTGGAGGGCCGCGGTTTTGTGTGCTGCCTGCATCCTGTGGATGGGGCTTTGCTTGTTTGTGCAGCCCGGTTGCTGGCATGCCGCGGTCCGATAGTGGTCTATGGACCAGGGGTTGGGGACCCGTGGCCTATGTCATTCACAAATGTGGTCCAATAGTTTTCTAAAATTGTTGAGTTTTAGAAGTTTGTTGGTAGAAAAAGACACTACACCTTTCTTAGATAAGAGAACTGTCTTAAGCCATGTTTTAAATCAAGAATCAAGAAATCCTGATTTGCTTTATTTTTAGCAATTTAATTTGAACTCCATCTGGCATATGTGCCCTGAGCAGACCATTTATTGCCTTTATTAAAGAGGAAGAATCCCACAGACGCTTTGTATACACAAATGGTAACATCATCATGGTCATAACCAATAGCGCCTTTACCATTGAGATTCATGGTACTTTTCAATATGTAAATCTAAATTGAATGAGCTGTCGGCAATCTGAGATGTGACAGAGGAAACAATATGAGATCTCAGAAACAACATAAGTTTCAGGAAGAACAGATTTCCAGTGCCTTCACAAATTTAATTTTTTAGTTGAATGGCTCTGTGGTGGCTGCTGTGCTGAGCATATCGCAAGTCCTAATGATAAGTATTATTTTGTTATTCCCTTGGATTTGCCATCTGCTATGATCACCTGTTTGTTCATGGCTTAATTCCCATATCCTTACAGCAGACACTAGTTATACATTCTAATCTCTTTCTTTTTTCTTTTTTTGGACCTTACCTACTTGAGATCAGGACAGTCTTTTGCAATAGACGTTCAAATGAATTTTGGCCTTCTTTATTAACATTCCTCTATTAGCATCTATAGATAAAGATTAAAATATATATTCAATCTGGACCATTTGTAATATAAATAATTAGAAAAGTGGACCAATGTAGTATGTAAATTATTATAAGAAGCTGAAAGCTAATTATTGAAAACACCTGTTAACCTCCACAGGTGTTCTTATGTGCAAACTACTTACCAAAGAGCTGGTATAAGTTGGATCTGAGGTGTCATCTTGCAGGTAGCGAGACAAGCCAAAATCAGACACTTTACAGACCAGGTTGCTGTTGACCAGGATATTCCTGGCTGCAAGATCACGGTGGACATAATTCATTTCTGCAAGGTATTTCATGCCAGCTGCAATCCCTCGTAGCATTCCCACCAGCTGAATGACTGTAAACTGGCCATCATTTTGCTGTAACAGTGAAAAATAAGCACAGAAATAAGCATATTTCATTTATCCAGAAATTAGAAAATAGGCTGAGAATAGAAGTCTCCCCAAAATTGATAAAGAAGGAAAGAAATGGTTGGAAATGGAGAGAATTTAATAGAATAGGCATAAGTTATAGGAAGTGAGCTAATTCAGAAGAAATAGACAAAGAAGAGAGAAATGGGATCTAGAGAAAATTGCTAGTGAAAGAAGGAGAATGTTGAGAGAGGGGAAAAAAACCAGGAAAGTTTAAAAGCTGAAGAACAAAAACTGCACCTAAGTGAATGAGCAAGAAAAACAGCAGATTCCATTGTCCAAAACTAAGAAAAATCATATTCTAATAGTGGAAGCGCCAGGGTTTGGAAAGAGGGTTGTATTTCAATTCTCACAATTTAAGTTGCTAACAAGAAGTAAAATCTGGACTCTTTCAAGACATACTTATGGGTGATTTCATTATGAGATTAACAGAGTTCTAAACATTATTTTTGAATGATTAATTTGGAGGAGGAAGACATGACTCAATCTGTGCCACCATCCTACAATAGCAACTGAACTTGTTTGATATTTCCAGTCCATTATCACTTTAAAAGGCTATTGTACTTACTCGCAGAAAAGAATCCAAGGCTCCATTTTCCATAAATTCTGTGATAATCATCACTGGCCGACTTTTAGTGACAACCCCCTCCAGCCGAATAATATTTGGATGGTCAAACTGACCCATGATGCTGGCTTCACTTAGGAAATCCCGTCGTTGTTTTTCAGAATAGCCGGCCTTTAATGTCTTAATAGCCACATAGATTTCTCTCTTGCCAGGCAGTTTCAGGCGCCCTTTATAAACTTCACCAAATTCTCCTGTAACGGGATCAATATAAGTTATAAACCAATTCTGGTCAATTTGGCATTTCAAAAGGAGAAGTTAATAAGAACAATATAAGAGATTTGATTATGAATGAGGTATATGCATGGAGTGCTATTTTCTCCCATGATATTACAAATATTTCTTTGAAAAGGCAGTGTTTTATTAAAAGTACTGCATTTTTAAAGACTTCACATAAGGTAAGAAGAGTTTTGTAACTTCACTGGTTGTGCAAAAGAGGAAAATGCCTTCTTATTGTGAAATGGCACATAGTATTTCTTCTCCATAGCTATGAAATAAGCAGGTATCGCTTATCACTTAACCCTTTCATAACTATGAGTACTGCTCTTCTAAACTGCTAAGCTGTTGTGTTGACATATAGATATTGTATGTACAGTATATATATTCATTTTGGGGGGAAAAACCTAAATTAAAATAGCAAAGAATTTTTAATAGCAACCTCAAAGAAAAACACATTTGGTGTTGTATAGTCCTTTGTGATTCATGGAATACAATCAAGGGAATGTAATATTGCACACAAAAGCCACTGTTTTGGGAAGGGTGTGGAAATGTTAAAACAAGACAGTGGGAATTAGCCATAGGTGATCACTTGTACAAAGGTTATGCACCTGCCCAGAATCCATTATGAATCTTCAAGTGCTTAAAGAAGAATGAGTTAGTCCCCTGAACCATGACAAGACATGGCCAAATATGGCTGTTGTCTCAAGCTTCCAAGATATAAAAACCAAAATCAGAAAGCACCGCTTTTTGAAAAAAAAAAGTTTCCCTGGAGATCAGGTTGCCCTACTCTTTATTGTCAGAATTTGTTAAAAACAGAATTACACAAACCATTTTTTATTCCATTATCCACTTCTACTTTTGGAAAAATGTTATTTGTGCTATTTTGTTTATTTTGGTCTGATGTTATATCATTTTTAATTTATTAGCATTTTTATTCACATTGTAAATGTTTTGCCACCATTCATCTTAAGTATATTTGCTCTGTACTGTGTATTTCACATGATGGAAATTTCTAAAGAAAATATTCATCTTTGAATCCTCTCCCATCTCATGTGGAAAGAATGCTCTGCAAATATACCCTACAGGTAGTCTCTGAGCAAGAGATTCTCTCTGGAGTAAGCAGCATCATAGATAACCAGAAATGAAATTGAAAATACTAAAGTGGTGTGTTGTTTCTGTCTTTTAGGATCAATTATGAACAGTATAGCCATGAAGACCTTGGAAATGATTTTCAAATGCCAAGATAGGTCTATAAAAGTTGATGACACAGTAACCAGTTTAGTTCATGAATATTGGTCTTCACCAAATCTGGAAATATACAGAACAGTGGCTCTTAACCTGTTTGACCAAATTACCCATTTTCCCAGGCTTAAACAATGTCATTAATCCTCCTGACTCCACCCCCACCCCCCGGTGATTTTTTTTTTTACACACAAATGACAGTAGCAGCAGTCCCAAACTGGATCTTTGACTTACAAACAAGCAATTATAAATTATCCCATTTATTCTCAGGATATGCCCAAATTACCTCCTTGGGGCTAATTATCCATAGCTTAAGAATCACTGTTATAAAGACTGAAAAAGCAATCACATCCTCCACCAATTGGTTTCTCCTCGATCTAAGATGGTTATTTAACTTGCTGGAACCTGCACTATTGGACAAAATTGCTCATAATATGGAGAGTAAAGTCCTCAGCCTGGGGACTGAGCAATGAAAAAGATGAAAAAGCCAACAGAACCAAAGTGGTATTGTAAACATATCTGTAGATACCTTACAGAGACTACCATTAACCATTAATGACAGTTGTACTAGTTTCAGGATAAGGAACAGCAAAAAGTACAGATCAAACTATTGACTATAAAGAAGGGAGCAATGTTTGAAAAAATGGCAATGCATGATTGATGACTCACTCATTTCCCTTGATGTGTGCTGTTAAGTCCGGAGAATAATGGCGCTTGAGACGAAGCATCTCCAACAAATCTTTATTGCTTGCTTCACTCTACGAACAACCAGAGCAGAGGCACGCAGGCCTCTATTTATACCCTCTGATCCCCGGGCAAGTTCAACCAATCATGAGGCGGGCTTTTCCCGCCTTGCGCATGCGCACAAGGCTGGCGCCGCTCAGTCTGGTCCCGGGCAGCTTCTGCAATTGCCCGGGACTCTTGCAACGTCCCGAGCCTGCCTCTTGCAGGCTCAGGACACAACACCCCTTCCCCCTGGATGAAATAAGATTGCGCCCACATGGACGTCATCCTATAGATGGTAATATAATTAATAATAAAATAAGTTGCACAATGTATAAGGTGTGGGACTGTTCCTTTGAACCAGATCCAGTGACCCCCCCGACCTTGTTTTAATTAAATACAACCAGCCAGTGCATTCAGGTCAGCTCTTACTATGTACCTGTTCACCTTTCGTAATCGGCTAGGTATTTGGGAGGGCCTCTTACCCTGAGCGACCTTCTCAGATCTGGAGAGTTTGTATTGTTATCCCCGTTGCCGCTTGCTCTAGGTGAAGTGCCCTGTGAATGACCAGTGACTTCAGCTTGGCTTTCCAGCCCGTCTCCTGTAATTGAGCAGTCCGTTGCCTGTTGGTCGCTAAACCTGGTTGACCTACCCTCAATGGAGTTATCTAACCCCTGTGAGTTCATTCCCGTGTTTCCTGAAGGAATGTGGGATTCCTGGCTCGTTTCTGTAGTGCTAGGGACTAGGGATGCCTCCCTGTTAGCCCTGATGCATGAGGACATCCTCCTCTGAGCCCTTTCAGCAAGGGACGTGTTCCCCCTTTGTATTGCCTGTTCTCTTGCATGTTGTGAGTTGTGAGTATGCTCCCAGGTATTCTCCNAAGAAGAAGAAGAAGAAGAAGAAGAAGAAGAAGAAGAAGAAGAAGAAGAAGAAGAAGAAGAAGAAGAAGAAGAAGAAGAAGAAGAAGAAGAAGAAGAAGAAGAAGAAGAAGAAGATATACAACTTAGTAAATGAAAAAGGCTGTCTACAATTTAAAAATGAAGAAATAAAAAAGATAATTAAGGAATATTACAAGAAACTGTATGACATAGAAGAAATTCCAAGAGAGAGAACAATCCAATATTTAGAAGAAAATAATCTTCCAAAAATTCCAGAAACATTTAAGAGTATGTTAGAGGAAAAAATCACAATGATAGAAATAACAGAGGCCATAAGAAGGCAAAAAAACAAAAAAAACATCGGGTTTTTTTTGCATATAATATAGAATTAGAAAAATGGCAAAATTCATGGGGAAGGGATTATAAACTGACAATGTCAACTTCTTATAAAGAATATTTATACAAAAATGTTTTATAGATGACACCTGCCACCAGCAAGATTAGCAAAAATGTTTAAAAATATGTCAGATAGATGATGGAAATGTAAACATAAGTCAGGCACGTATTATCATGTTTGGTGGACATGTGATAAAGTAAAGAATTATTGGAAAAAGATACATATTTGGTTAGAAAAGATGTTGGGAGAACATGTAGATTTTAAACCTGAACTTTTTTTATTAGGTATAATGCCAGAAAAGTGTCAATGCTGATAACATCGGATGTTCTTGCTTTGACAACATAGGGAGATGCAGCCTTTTTCTCTCCTATGTTTCACTCTTAGAATTAGATGATACTTGTTAAGTCCGGAGAATAATGGCGCTTGAGACAAAGCATCTCCAACAAGTCTTTATTGTTTGCTTCCATTCTACGAACAACCAGAGCAGAGGCACGCAGGCCTCTATTTATACCCTCTGATCCCCGGGCAAGTTCAACCAATCATGAGGCGGGCTTTTCCCGCCTTGCGCATGTGCGCAAGGCTGGCGCCGCTCAGTCTGGTCCCGGGCAGCTTCTGCAAATGCCCGGGACTCTTGCAATGTCCCGAGCCTGCCTCTTGCAGGCTCAGGACACAACACCCCTTCCCCCTGGATGAAATAAGATTGCGCCCACATGGACGCCATCCTATAGATGGTAATATAATTAATGATGAGTTAATGTTACACAATGTATAAGGTGTGGGACTGTTCCTTTGAACTAGATCCAGTGACCCCCCCCCCCGACCTTGCTTTCATTAAAGACAACCAGCTAGAACCTTTAGGTCAGCTATTGCTATGTACCTGCTCAACTTACGTAATCGGCTAGGTATTTGGGAGGGCCTCTTACCCTGAGCGACCTTCTCAGACCTGGAGAGTTTGTATTGTTATCCCCGTTGCTGCTTGCTCTAGGTGAAGTGCCCTGTGAATGACCAGTGACTTCAGCTTGACTTTCCAGCCCGTCTCCTGTATTTGAGCAGTCAGGGCCCTGTGGGTCGCTAAACCTGGTTGACCTACCCTCTATGGAGTTGTCTAACCCCTCTGAGTTCATTCCCGTGTTTCCTGAGGGAGTACGGGTTTTCTGGCTCGTTTCTGTAGTGCTAGGGACTAGGGATGCCTCCCTGTTAGCCCTGATGCGTGAGGACATCCTCCTCTGAGCCCTTTCAGCAAGGGACGTTTTCCCCTTTTGTATTGCCTGCTCTCTTGCATGTTGTGAGTTGTGAGTATGCTCCCAGGTATTCTCCGTGTCTGGAGTATTGCTTGATAGGGGTGGATAATTAGTCTGTACTCCCTTTCCCAAGGACTGCTACCTGAAGCACCTGTGGAAGTTGGGTGTTGAGTACCCGTTTCCCTTCCCACAGCCAACGTAGGCTGTTGATTTTGAATCCCAGAATGCATTTCCCATTCCTCCTCCCCCCCTAGAGGAGACTGAGAAGGAACCATAGGCGAGTCCCGCCTCACACGTAATTGATCGATGTGGCGGTGAAGTACACGGCCGTCTGTCAGGGACACCTCGTAGGACAGAGGCCCCGAGACTTTGCAGACCACAGCTCGTAATTCCTGGCCCAGACAGGATCACCTTCACGTAGGACCCGTGGTGGGTGTGGCTGAGACACCTGTGCAGCTACACGTTCCGGATGCAGCCTGTCCAATTTAGTCACG